AATCCTAAGGCTGTCAGTCTTATAGGAATGTTCCCTGAGTTCCTTCGGATTAGCCCTACCTGCCAAACAATAGCGGTCAAGATTACTACATGGAACGTCAAGTTGAGCGAAGAGAAGTCCAGAATTGCTAACGGGGAGGGCTCCTTCACTAGTTTTCTAGGAGTAGTCGGCAGAAAGGTCCTACGGCTAGATCTTAGACTACTAAGGAGGGGAAAACTACACCTCGACCGAAAGCGAGGTCAACAGGTCTCTAATGGAAGCTCTTTCAATGTAACCTCTCTCAACTCTATGTTTACACATGGAAAATGGCTTGGGAACTGATTCAATTGAATTTTAGCATGTTTCTGGCAACATGCTATAATTGTTGATTTTATGTTTGAATGGGGAAGCATATAGACTCTTACATGTTCACAACCACCCATTCTTTCAATGTAGTATGTTTTTCTGGCTACTTGGAAATTTGCTTTGTGCACTACTATGGACTCAGCTTTGTCAGCCGAAAACTTTGCTAATCACCCAGCCGAAAGCTTTGCTAATCATCCAGACTCCTCAATTCTTATGTATTTATATATCTAACACCTAAGCTTCGATTTTCTCATGCATACCACCAATCTATGCATGACAGTGTATTTTTTTAAGTGGTATGAGAGATTTGAGTGGTATACATATACAAAAAAATTAATTTTTGGTGCTAGATGTGTAAATATATTGGAATTGATGTTATTCAACTTGATGGGAAAATTGCAGCTTCAAGAGAAAAATCCCTCGAAGAAAAATGGAAGTGATCGCAAATTGATAAAATTGTTGTATGACAGTATAGGAGGAGACATCCATCGCCTTCACGTTAAAGACAATATCATTATTATTTTACTTGTAATTTTATTAGTTTTTTTTTTCTTTTTCTTAGCACTTTTGATACTCACTGCTAAATGAGTGGTGTATTTGTACTTGTGTTATATTTTGAAATAAATTTCTACTTCTGAATTATCAAATATGTCGCTGTCATAGTTTTGTTTTAAACAACTTCACTAAACAGAGACAGAATAATCATTTTTACAGAAACAACTACCTCACAGTTATTCTCACACAGCTGTAACAAACAGACAGTCAGCTTTCCCGCAGCAGCTTTCCTGGGCAGCGCAGCTGCAGTTGAAAAACTGAGAAGCTGCAACTGTGCCAAACAAAGCCTTAGACTTCTCTACTGATTGTAATCATTTCATACAAAATATCACGTTAGTGATCCTTAAATCCAAGCGAAGAAACTCTTCCATTACGTGAATATTTGGCAACATCAAAATCACTTATTTATAAACTCCCCCGCTCTTTTCCACCTTTTCCGTCCTAATCATGTCTCCAAAACATCCAATGTCATTGTCCAACCCAATTGTTTTATTGTTTGAGTAGATATGAAGTTTTGGGTGACCCCTCTATCCATCAACACAACCATATCGTGCTCTCCAATTTGCCCTTGAAGTTTCATAGTGTGATTCGGTGTAATCCCACCATTGATTTCAATAAGACTTTTGCGACGTCTAAGTGAGGGTATTCCTTTACCTCCATCTTAGTCATGCACTGTGAGAGTCTCTAATGTCCATTTCTTACAACAATTTCCTAAGGAAAACTTCTCATCACACTGAAAATATAACCCATTAGCTCGTTTCTTTTGAATCTGTCTTTGTAAGACATTTGAATGTCACACCCGATCCTGGCCCTTTTTCCTGTCCTGTGAAGCCTCACTCTGGACTTTACTGTTTGAGCTTTTGGTATCATCGTGGTTGTAACATTGCAGTGTGGCGCTTCAGTTGTGGTGCTTCTATTAGGTCATTCCATTGTATTTTTATCTTCAATCAATTGCGCTAATTTCATAGTTTCCCCCAATTCTCACAATCTCAGCAGGCAGAGTGATGCTACAATTTCTGGCTTCAACCTTTTCATGAAGTTGGCTTCCAACACTTCTTTTGATATCTCTCTCAAATAGTCTGATAACATCTCAAATTTCTTCTTATATTCCATGACAGATCTTTCTTGGACCAATGTAACCAATGTAAAAAACTGCTTGTGTAAATCCCCATTCATGTGTGGTTCTAAATCGCTCCAACAATCAGACCTTGAATTCTTTCCATGTCTGGATTGGCTGACGTTGTTATCTTCATTGATACAGTGCTAGAGTTTTTCCTTCCAAACACAGAGCTGCCGCCATCAATTTTTCTTTTTCTGTTAGCCCATTAACAATAGAGTATCTCTCCACACTATATACCCAACCTTCTCCATCAAAGATTGTCATCTTCAGCTTCGTCGTGCATGAATTTCCTCTCCAATAAATATAAACTTTATAAAACTGTAATTAGGCAAGATTGTTGTGTGGATTCAAATGTTTGGCTGTAAAAAAGTTGTTAGTATTTAAGTTGAATGTGGTTAACAAGATTTGTGATGATTGTAATTTGATTTAGGTGGTTCAGTGCCAAGCATATTCAACAAAATTTTAAAATTTTTCCTATTAAATGAGTTGATAAATTTAGTGTGAAAATATTGGAGAAGTAAAGAAGGCTTGACCTAAAGTTACACGGATAGATGTTCCTCAAAATGATCTACAAAGAATAGATTCAACGTATCCAATAGCACTCATTTAGAATGAATGAACAATGAGTATTCATAATGTCTACTACAAGTAGTCGGGACAACGCTTATGATGATATTGATAACCTTGTATTCAGGTATTTTTGAGAAATTTTCGTAAAGCTCTCATTTTTGGGCCAACTTATTTTCATTTAGAGGTTGTTTTGTTCACTGAATTTTGGTATAAAGCAAACAAAATGTATGAATTTTTAGAATTTCCGCATTTGGTTGGATCAAAATGGAATTTAACATAAAATTTTGGTGACTTTAAAATTGATCTTGCTGTTCAAAACTAGTGTATTACGATTTTGTTAGATTTTGGTTTTTTTAAATGCCAGCTAGCCGTCATCGCTGCACTACCCCCGGCTATCGCAGCCACCTTTTTTCTCGTTGTTGCTGCCCACAACCGCCTACCACCAGCTGCCATGAATTGATCCCTGCCATCACTGTCATCGTAGGAGCCACTGGCCGTAGCTGCATTTCCGGTTACTGCCACCTACTGCTTTGCCTCTATCGTTGCAAATGGTGTTGTCTGCTGTTGCCAGCTGCCACTGTTGACACCAACCATGCTTTACATTGATTTTGTTTTTCTTCAATCCAAACATAAAAATAGAAACTGTATTTATTTTGCATAGAATCAAACAACTCAAAAATATTTTAAATGCAATAAATTTCAATTACACTACATTTCTTTTTGTTCAATCCAAACATAAAAATCGAAACTGTATTTATTTTTAATAGAATCAAACAACTCAAAAAATAGAATCAAACAACTCAAAAATAAGAATCAAACAACTCAAAAATATTTTAAATGCAATAAATTTCAATTACACTACATTTTTTTTTTCTTGAAACCAAATAGTCCCTTCATCTATTCTCTTTAAAAGATGACATTATCATGTATGACACCCTTGTTATCTTTGGAGTGCATTCCAATCTTAGTTTGTTTTGTCTGTAGAATTGTATTGTTTACTGTGGATTTGTATATTTATTAGTTAAATTCAGTGTTATCAAAGCACAAAATGTAATGTGATGCATATGATTTTATTTTTGCTTCAGAGTGCAAAGTGCAGAGCAAAGTGGTGTTTTTATCAACCAAAGCTTTAATATGTTGTATAAAACTATTTATGTATAAATAAATTCATGAACAATTGTAAAACATAAAATATAACTTAAATGTTGATATAAAATAGAGAAGAATGTGGTACAATACCTAACTTAAGTTAAACATTGGAGATATAATTTTTATTTCTTTTAAAAAAAAAAAAAAACTTTTGGTATTAATTATTGTTTGCTTTAGAACCTAGTCTTTTTTGGTTTTCTCTCATTAACACCCAATCCCTATATATATATGCGTATCTAACACATAAATATAATTTGTAAAAATTGAAGTTTAGGTGTTAGGTATGCATACATAGAACTTGAGAGGTATGATCGGCTAAATTGGAGACTAGGTAAAAGTCGAATGAAGACTACAAAGTTTGAAGAGCGCTTCGAAATCTAGGCCAAAATTGAAGACGATGCTTGGCTCCATTGTGCTCCTCAAACTCTTGAAGCTTCTTAAAATGCCTAACTGAAGCTTTTATTTACTTTCGTTAAACCATGAACGGACCAACTGTCTTCAGCACTTCGAAGCGCCCTTTAGCTAAGTGAAACGGGCGTCAAGCGCTTTGCTTGCACGTGAAGCGCCTTTTAAAAATATTGGTTAAAATTAGTAATTATTTTGGTAGTTCTTGGTATGTATGTTTTTTTTAATTACCTTCTTTGTTCAACTTGTTGGTCAGTTTAGTTATCAAATTGTGGAGTTTATTAGTGGCATCGTTCGTTCATCAATATCTGGAGATGTAATATGTGTTAAATTGCTATTTATGGAATATGCAAGTTTGTGTAAGTTAGATTAACCATGAAACTAGTACTATGAAGAACATTTTCATGTCCTTGCCTGGTATAATAGAGTGAGAAGTTAGTGGATTTACTTTTATCAAGACACTATATTCATATCTGTTGATCCAAAACATGGGAATCAGTATAAGAAAGAGCGCCACCGATGTTGAGGGAAAAATGTCCTTCAGAATTTTTTGAGATAATTTGCTTACTGCAGTGGCACTCATATTTCTTGTATGAAATGTCTGAGACCTGCTGTGTAGCTATGTTTTGTAAGTTATTACAATGAGTTGTGGAATAAGAAGTTCCTTGAAATTTGCTTTAATCCTGACTATTTGAATTAGAGAAGCAAAATACATTCTACTTTGTCCAAATTATTGAAAATATTTTGTTTTGCTGTTTGGGTTGAACTTCTGCAGCATTTTACTGTTTGCTTAATTCATGCATTAGGGCAGTACATAAAATTTTGCAGTTAATCATTCCATCTGCTATCCTTGCAGGTACGCTTTGCTCCTAATCAGCAAAACAAGCTCATTTCCTCTTCTGTTGATGGATTGTTATGCCTCTTTGATACTGATGGACATATTGATGATGATAATAATTTGGAATCTGTAAGTAATTGAAATATGTATTGATTCTTTATTGAATGTCTATCCTATTTGAAAATTGCTGGAGAAGTAACCATCTTTTTTGTAACGTGTGTAAACTTTCCTTCCTTCAGATTTTCATAATTTTCTTATTATTATTTTTTGCTTTTGATTCGACATGAAATGGTATTTTATGTCATTATTTTTCTTGTGTTGTTCATCTGCTATTGTATTTTTTTATCATATAAGCAACGCAAGTTCTGTTGACAAGAATATCAACTCTGAGGGTAGAGTTCCTTGAAGAGTGATGAAATATGATGTATAATATGGACGCCATGGTAGAAATCTTTTATTTGATGATAAAAATATGATGTTTTATTAGAGGAACCAGATTTGTCAATACAACAAGAATTTTGAGGTACCTTCCAAGTGGACTCATTATGTTGTAAGGATTGATCATCAATGTGCGAAAATAGAAGAAGGATATAATAATAATTCATACCTAATGTCTTATTGCACCACCCCTGCAATGAATTTTCAGGTACCTATTTCTCCAATCTCACAATGAATTTTCATAATCAGTTTGGATTTATGTCGAGCAGATCTACTATTGAAGCTATACATTTATGAGTTTATTGAGAGGTTTGATGGAGAAGTACAAAGAGAATAAAGAGGATATACATATGATTTTTATTGATTTATAAAATGCTTACAATAAGATTCCAAGAGAAATCCTTTGGAAATTTCTTGAGAAGAAAGATGTTGATTTGACTTATATTCAAGTCATTAAAGATATGTATGCTAGAGCTATTACTTGTGTTCGAATAGAAGGTGGATAACACAAGGCTTTAGGGAGGACCAACCTCCTTTCCTTTTTCCCTTCCTTTCCTTTTCCCCTTACTTTTTTTTCCTTCCCTTCTTTCCTTCTTGACACCTTCCTATTTTAAAGTACTTTCCAAATTCTAAATTTTGATTACCTTTATTCATCCTTACATCTGATTTTCCCTCACTTTATTTTCTTGCCTATATCTGAAAATCCTGATTATATTACTTTCTTCTTATTTTATTTCCTAATTGAAAACATTGCCTAATATAAGTCCTAATCTTTTTTATATATAGGGGTTAATTTTGCTTAGGAAAAGTGGTTTTTGTTACTTAAGAATTCAATGTTTTGTTTGGACAGCCGCCGACGTTTTGTTTTTCCTTTCGAGGGCGGTATCCGACGATGAGGAAGTGCTTCGGTGTTACTTAAGAATTCAATGTTTTGTTTGGACAGCCGACGATGAGGAAGTGCTTCGGCTGACCCTCATCCGAGGAGGAGAACGCCGCCTCCCAGCCCTACAGCAGACCGCTGCCACTTCTACTCTTTACCTAGCAACCGTCAGCTGCTTCTCAACCTGCCAACCAACCTCAGACTCCTCCTTGTACCACCTCTGCAGGCCGACATATCATCCTCCCTGCTTCCAACTGCTAGCCTCCAAATCCATCTCCCGATTATCTTATCGCTACCCCCAAACTGCAGCTCTTACAGCCTCCGAAACCGTAACTCCTACTGCCTTCCCAACTACAGACCTCCTTCCCTCCCGGCTGCCCTCCAATCTGCACCCCCCTGCTGTCTTACCGCCACCACCCACCTTTCTAGTAGCCCTAGGGTGTCTTGTTGTGTTCAGGTTGTTATTTCCCTTTTGTTTGAGTCATTGTTTGTAACGCTAATGAATTTTCAGCAATAATATTTGTATTTTCATTGTGGTTTTGGCTTCCTCCGATATCATTTGGTATTAGTGCTCGCCCAACTCTAGTCCAATCCTAGGGTTTCCTAGCATTCACCATAAAACTAAACTTTCTTTCCTACCACCAAACCCAAACCCCATCAAATTTTTTTTTTCCTATTCCTTAATCCCTAGCCATTGAGATACATGCCTGAACTTTTTTGGGAGTAGATATAACGGGAGATCAACCAAATTCGACAGTGGATTACGAATATGGAAGATGAAATCCAATGGAAGACTACCATCGACCGTGATCCGAAAAGTTGAAAGGCGGAACGAGATATGAAGATGGAGCGAGAAACACGGCGTCAGTTCCTACCATCCTACCAACTTACTACTATCACCAAAAGTTGCAGACTTTAACTTCTGAATTGGAGAGACCACATCACTAAGCGACTCTCCTTGCTACTATTAAGTAAAACCAATCCGTAATTCTGTCGCAGCAAAAAATGTTGCAAGTGCCACGAGTATGGATATGTTGAAGTAGAATGCAGAACCAAGGGAGTGATTTACTTAACCGAGCAGGGTGTCCTTGAAAATGTGGGTAAAGACACCGCAGACACTGAAGAACAGTTCTAGCGAGAATTTTCATCCGATGACATCTTTCCCCGTGGAACTCCCTTGTTCGCGCATGCATCCAATTTTTTTCCTCCATGTGATCAAAAAGAACACGCGACTTCTGATGAGATTGTGATTCTTGCTCTCCTAAAAAATGTTTTTTTTTTGTTGAAACATATAAAGATTATGTAAACTAGAAGATTTTAGAATTTAAAATTGCAGTTGATGGTCTTGGTAATGATCAACTGTTAGCATCACAGATGGCTACACTGTCAACCCTCATTAAGACAAACTGATAGCATCACAGGCAGCTACACTGCTAGCCCTCACCCCTAGTGTTCCATATGAAGAGATGAAATGCTAGTGTGAATCTCTTATTATTGGAACACAGCAGAAGATGTCAGTTCTCCAAAATCTTAAAACTCAGAGGGAAGACTCGAAAGATAATAAGTATCACTCATTAACCAAACTCTTGAAAACCCTCAGCCTTGTTGTGGTTCAACTAGTCATAGATGAGAAATATATGTGATATTTACTTGTTTGGAATTTGGCTGGGAAAAAACTACGTACTCTGGTTCAGATTATGCCAAACTAGATTGGATCAATAGAGAGGTATGCTCGCAAGTGGGAAAAACTCCTCAAAAGTTTTGGTAGCAGTGCAGTTATCAGTGAAATCCATGAAGGACCAGAGAGAATCAGAAGCTTCGACCTAATTCTCCCCCAATCCCGGGAGACTAACGTGGGGCTTTGGGGACGATCGGCCTCGGGTTTGGTCCAACTTGGTTGGATAGGTCGGTCCTCAAGGTAGGAGCGCTGCAGACCCCCTCTTTCTTTTTCCCTTATTCTTTTCCCTCTGTTCCCTTTTCACTCCGTTTCTTTTTCCCCTTAACCCCCTCTTTCTTTTTCCCTTATTCTTTTCCCTCTTTTCCCTCTTTTCCCTTTTCACTCCGTTTCTTTTTCCCCTTACTTTCCTTTTCTTCCCTTCTTTCCTCCTTGGCACCTTCCCATTTTAAAGTCTTTTCCAAATTCTAAACTTTGATTACTTTTATTCAATCTTTACTTAATCTGATTTTCTCTCACTTTATTTCCTTGCATAAATCTTAAAATCTTGATTATATTACTTCCTTTTTTACTCTATTTTCTAATTCAAAGCATTGTCTAATATAAGTCTTAATCCCTCTTATATATAGGCGTTGTTTTCTCATAGGAAAGGAGGTTTTTGTTACTTAAGAATTCAACATTTTGTTTGGATAGTCGCCGGTGTCCTGTTTTCTCCTTCGAGGGCTATATCCGACGGCGAGAAAGTGCTTCGACTGTCCCTCGTCTGAGATGGTGATCGTCTCCATGGGTACGGGAGGTGCTTTTTCTATAGCTCTACCCCGCCGAGATATTTATCTATCCTTCCAACCATTTCTGGTGCTGCTAGTCTGCCTACTAGTCCTACAACAGGCCGTCATCACTTCTGTTCTTTGCCCAACAATCGCCGACTACTTCCCAGCCTGCCAAACCACCTCAAACTCTTTCCTGCACCCTTCATCCTCCTTGCTTCCAACTGCTAGCCTCCACATCTCTCTCTCGGTTATCCTACCGCTGCCCCCAAAATCCAACTCTTGTAGCCTCCCAAACTGTAGCTTTTGCATCCCTCCCAACCGCAGACCTGCTTCCCTCCCGGCTGCCCTCCAACCTGCACCCCTCTGTTGTCCAACTGCCACCACCTACCAGCATAGTCATTCTAGGGTGTCCTTTTGTTTGAGTCATTGTTTGTAACCCTAATAAATTTTCAACAATAATTTTTGTATTTTCATTATGGTTTAGGCTTCCTCCGGTATGAGAGGATTGACAAAATATTTTTTATTTCAGTTGGATTATATCATGGATCGTCTTTAAACTCATATCTTTTTGCTTTAGTTGTGCGCTCTTATCGGACATCTACAGGAGGATATACCTTGGTGTATGCTTTTCTCTAATGATCTCTTTCTTGTGAATAAGATTAGAGAAAACGTTCAGGAAAAACTCGAGTTATGGAGGTCTACATTGGAGCCTAAAGGCCTTCGTTTGTGTAGAACTAAAACTGAATGCATGAAATGTAATGTTAGTAGTAGTAGCTCTAGTGGCTGAGTTGTAACTTTGGGTGATAAAATCTTTAAAAGGCGTGAACACTTTAGATATCTCGGATCTTTTGTTCAAAGTGATGATGATATTGATGAGGATGTAATTAGTAGAATTGAAGTTGGTTGGTTGAAGTGGAGGAATGCATTGAGCCTATTGTGTGATAGAAAAGTACACTTAGACTGAAAGGTAAATTTTATAAAATGGCGGTGAGACCTGCAATGCTTTATGGTGTAGATTGTAGGCCTTTAAAAGAGAAGCATAAAACCAAGTTAAGTGTTGCCGAGATGAGAATGCTTAGGTGAATGAGTGGCTTTACACTTAAAGACAAAATGTGAAATGAATATATCCGTGATAGGGTTGGTGTTGCTCCGGTGATGGACAAAATTAGAGAGAGTTGTCTTAGACAAAATTAGAGAGAGTTGTTTTAGATGGTTTCGTCACACTAAACGTCGATCATCTGATGATTCGGTGAGGAGAGGCAGATATTTTAGATTTGACTTATGTTAAGAAATGCAAAGTTAGATTTAGAAAGACTTGGGTATGTTATATAAAAATGATTTTAATTTATTAGATTTGAAAATATAACACTCAATAGGACGCATTGGAGAAAAATGATTCATCTAGCCGACCCCACTTAGTGGGATGAAGGCTTTTTGTTGTTGTTATTATTGTGAATTTAGCTATCTCCTGAGAGAATTCAAAATGCCTGATACTCAAGAATTTACATCAAGCTCTTATAACTAGTGTCGATTTTGATTTGCAGGTAATGAATGTTGGGACTTCTATTGCGAAATTTGGGTTCTTTGGGGAGAAGTATCACAAGCTTTGGTGTTTAACTCATATTGAAACTCTAAGGTTAAATCTCTAATTCCTGTGCCACTAAGCCTTTTTCTTGATCATGGTGAAATAGAACACTCAAACCTGTCTTAACTATGAGCCATCTGTTATATCCAACTGGTAAATATCATATAGTCATTTCTGTGTCATTGGATAGTTATCACTTTATTTAAAGACAGCAGTTCTGTCATTTAGGAACTGCCGTAAGACCTTGAGGCAGTCCACCGTCTTTATTATCATATAGTCATTTCTGTGTCATTGGATAGTTATTACTTTATTTAAAGACAGCAGTTCTGTCTGCCGTAAGACCTTGAGGCAGTCCACCGTCTTACAAGTTTAAAATGAATTTTGACTTGTTGAACATATTCTGCAAATTCTAGAGGTGAGGTTTTCTGGAATGTTGAGCTTATCTGTTATGCTTTCTCTGAGATTATCTGTTATGCTTTCTCTGCAGTCTTAGATCACAAGGATGTTGTTACAAACAGGATATGAGCCACTGATCATATTTCTAATTATGTTTTGTATAAAATATTAAAATCAATCAATGGAAGATTTACATGCATAGCTCTCGATTCCCATGTATTTACATATCTGACACAACCATTAATTTTTACTTGCATGCCACCTTATATGTATGAAAATGTTTTTTTCACCTTTTAAAAGTGGAAATGGGGGCATTTAAGATGTAATTTAGGTGGTGTTAACGTAAATAGTAAATTTTAGGTGTTAGATATGTAAAAACGTGGGAATCTGGTGGTATGTATGTAAATGCCCCATCATCAATTCAGTTTTTCCTGTTATGTGCAGCAAATCTATCCCATGGTTATAAACTGGATCATGATGTCTAACTTCTTGGGCACCTGAGAAGTAACAATCTTAATACTGTTCTTTGAAAATTTTTAATTCATTGGTCTTGATGTAGAACAAAATCAAGTGGTGCATAAGCTAGTGCAATATCACAGGAAAGATTCCATCTTCTTGCATGATTATTGTAATGATATGCTTCATTTATTTTAAAAGCAAGGTGGATGGGATAAACTATCCTTTAAAGATAGGGACTAAAATATAGGCATCTAAAACATAGCAGGAAACAAAATAAAGTTCAAAATCCCATGAACGATTCGCTGGCCACAAGGAGGTTTAAATGGAGACAAACAATGCAAATTGTGAAGAAGCTGTCTTAAGCCTTACATTGAGTACTACTTGAAGAAATCTGGATCAAACCGTGAATTGTGGAGCACACTTTGAATTGAGGAGAGATGTGCTGGGCATATGTTAATTTGGATGGAGGGGTCTACCAAGCATAATCCCCTCCTTGTTAAAATAAATAAAAAAATTAATTATAACACTCATGCATGGAGTTGGGCTCTTGTTGTGATATTTTCACCGGCATGTCACTTATGATCTGTTTGGGACGGCTGCCACTTTTTTTAAAGGTGGTTATAAAGATGTGATTGGGAAAATAACTTTTTAGAAAGCTACAGTTGGAATTATTTATATTTAATTTTTCAAAATGGTCAGACAACGACTCTCTTATAGCCACCACTCATAACATCAAGAAAACAGTTGCCCAAACAAATTGTGGTGGAGTTCTGAAACGCAAAACAGACAAAAAGCTTCACAAATTGACCCCTGATAGTGTTTTACATCAGGTCTACTAAATAGAGCAATCCTGTAAAAGAAAGTTACTTTATGCTTATGCTGACCATATGAAAATTAATTGGAGTCTTTATGGTTACCAAATTACCGTAGCTGTTATTGTGGGTACTATTTACTGGGAAATGTCAAATGATATATGCATTATTTTTTGTTTGTATGCATACGCATGACAAAGGTATTATTATGAATATGCCATGTTTATATGCACTAATTGTTTACATGTTCAATAGTATTTGGGATTGGAGGGATGGGAGAACAGACATCTACTTCGAAGATACCCGTACTTTAGCATCAGATAAATGGAATCTTGATCACGTAAGTTGTATGATCAATTCTCTTTTTATTCATCTTCTATTTGTAAGATGCCTACTTAGCTGTCATCTTAACTCGCTGCTTGTGCCACCTTATTCTAACTATTTGATGGCAGCTTTGCCACCTTTTTTGCCTCATTTTTTGTTTAGGTTGCATTTGACTTTAATGCATCTTATGATTTTATGAACTTATCTACTAGATATTTATTTGGATGTCTAATTGGGTGTTGATATGCAAATAATTCTTTTTTGAATCTCTAGTTGTCAAAAACTCTGTAGTACTTTATTTTGGTTAATGTTAAACTGAAAGTGACTGTATGACCCCTTTTCTGACACTTATAATTGACAACTCTAGTAGTTTGTGTGCTAGTGGATTGATTACTATAAGAGTTGGAATTTAAGCTACTTGTAGGTATAGTCTTACTTTTTGAGGCATTCAATGATTGACTTAATAATCCTAGAAAAACTTGTTTTATTGGTGAAATCTCTCAAAGAGGAAGGACTAACAACATATTCTATTGGAGGATAGCTTGTTAGAATAGTTGCAGCTTTTTAAATTCTATCAATAGAAGTTTTGATGGTACAAAGCTACAAATAGAAACACACCTTGACTGACATATACTCCATCTATGGAAATAACAAGTACTAGAGACTTGTCGTGCATCAGTTGAATAATAAAGTTGTATCATTATTGAATGAGTAATGTTGATGTTCATAGATAGAATGTACAATCACAATAGATCCGCCACAACTCATTTTGATCCTCTCTTACTTGAGCATGAGGCGTAATAGAGGCGGGTAATCCGATCATACGTATTTTTACCAACATCCATCTTGATTTCACTAGTCATGTGTGAGAGTAGAAAATTAATCTATATGGAATGCCACGTAAACTAACCCACTTTCATAGCATTCTAATAAATGTATCTTTATCATTAATTTTTGGAACTTGAATAATTTCAATCATCAAAATGTATTATAGAGCTTCTCAAAATTTTATAAAAAATTTACACTTACTCTTAAGTAGTCTTTAATTTAAATCATGTAATTTTTTTGTCTTGATTATATTCAAAATTTGTAAACTTAAGATTTAAAGATAAACAGGTTTATCTAACTATGGACTCACCTGCTCCTTTTCATTGCTTGATAGAATAGTCATTGTAAAATCAATAAGCCAAAAGACATACATAAACAAGAATTGTTTCTCTCTGTAAAAAAATAAAATGTGTTATTAAATATAAAATATTGAATTCACTATGATAATTACTTATTGTTATGAAATTATCCTTTTTTATTTCTTTATTATTTTACTATTCAGTCTTACAAGTATTATATGATGTTCGTACAAGTGTTTGACACATGCATCGTGCCAAAATTCTAAAATGGATTGTATCATGCCGAAGTTCTAAAATTAAGAGTTGCGAACCCTTTTTAGTTCCTACTTTGGTTCATCTCATCAAATCTTTCATATCTCCTTGTCCAGGCCATTATCTTTTGTCAACCTCTCCTATAATATACTTAATTTTATTTTTAGCAAGTAAAAAAAAAAGCCAAAGTACGAAATTAGGGAAATGAGTGTGCAATAACAATGATGTATCTCACATGCGTGATAACATGTCAAGGATTTAGGATAATAGAGGCATTGACAACACATCTGAACCAGCAATATCGACATCATATCGATGAAGATATGTTGAGTTCACAGCCTTGGCGAGATGGAAATCTGGGGGATAGATGAAGAACTCAAGAATTAGGGTTTCAAGGAAAGTGAGTTCTGGATTTTGAAATGCTTAGTATAAACTGAATTGGATTCAACTGAAGATGTTGTATGCGTGCCCCAACTGTTTCGGGGGAATGTGCAAGTCTTATCCAACTGTAATTTTGGGGTACAACTTACCTTGCATGGCTTATAAGTATGCTAGACACGTGTAAAAGCATATTGGAGGTTTGTCAGTGTCTTAACATGGACACTAATTTAGAAGTATCTGTACATGATAGTCTTCTTTGTCTTATAAACGTCTAAGTTTCTATGTTCGTTGGTACATTAATTGGCAAACACAATATCTTATGCTTACCCTAAATTAATTTAATTTTTGGGAAAATTACATACATAACACCCAATTCTTATACATTTACCAATCTCACGCCTAAACTTCCATTTTTACACACAACACTTTACCTGTAAATATGGATTTGACTATTAAAAGGTGATAATAAGTGCTACTTTTCATATGATGTTTGTAATTACGAAAGTTTAGGTGTGAGATAGGAAAATATGAAAGTTTTGGGTGCTATGTATGTGAAAGCCCCTTAATTTTTTTATCAGCATATTAAGCATGGAACTTAGAATTTATAATACTAAGCGCCTGACACCTAAGAGAAAATTAATTTTAGTTGTAATAACAGAATTTGGTATTTAACTATTTAAATTAGTAAAATTCATCCGGACAACACTATCGTTGGGAAGATGAATGCAAATTTTGAAAATATGAAATCTAAAAAAAAGTACTTTTTAATTATAATTAAGTTAGAGTAGCATGTTTTATGCCTACTATGCATCCAATAACCATCCAAATTATATCCAATAAATTTCAACTAGTTTTACATGATAAAATTTTGGAAAATTTACAAATCTGAAACACAATTCTTTTGTATTTACATATCTCGCACGTAAGCTTTCATATTTACATATGCATGTAAAGTTGTATTAAATATGATAGTTTAGGTGTGAGATATGTAATTACATTAGAATTGTGTGCTGTGTATGTAAATGCTCCTAAATTTTAGACCATGCCTCATTGAATAGCATTACACATTGGCGTCTTAATGTTTCTGTCACGGAACATGGTGTTTAACACAGCATAAATAATGTCCAAAAATTTATATAATTTAAAGGTTTGCTCTAAGTTTGCGGTTCTGAAATCAAACAGATCTGAGGACTTTTTTGTTCGCGCTTCTGGATGCATACCACCCAACTCATATGTTGATTATCTAACTTCTAAACTTAGACTTTTTCCATTTATACTATTCAAATCTTTCTCATCACGTAAAAACTGTCACCATTTTAACTTTTAAAATGCGAAATGGACCTTTTCATGTATGGGAAAAGATGGCATGTATGTAAAATTTGAAGTCTAGGTTTTGAATATGTAAATGCATAGGAATTGAGTGGTATGTATGTAAATCTTCCTTCTTGTTATATAATGCCAAAGTGGTCATTTACTTAGCTTACATTTCTCAAATCTCAACTAAAATTATAAGTTACCATTCAACTAGGGTTGTCAAAATGGTTTGTTGTTTGTGAACAGTTCATGTTTGGCTTGTTAAGAAGTTTGTGTTTTATTTGTTAGCCAAGTTAACGAACGAGCCGAACACGAAAAATTTTCTTACGCTCGATATATAAAGAAGCCGAACACAAATAAAAATTTGTTCGAACCCTTATTTATTCTATGGCTGCGTGATTATGAATGTCAAAATGATTCCTTGTTCACGATCAGCTCGTGTTCGGCACGCTAAGCAAACAAGTTGAACACGAACAGTGATTTTGAGCCTGGGCTTGCTCGTTTTCGGCTCGTTTACACCCCTACATCCAACCTTTTATAGTATGTTTTAAATCTCAAAGCCATAGAATGAAGAGCATATCTCCAATTGATTTCAATCTTAAACTCTTATCATATTTTATATTGCTATTATTGATCACCTAGATCGACTACTTCGTCGATTGCTACTATTCTGGAACTGAAGACCGCTTGTGGGTAATCGGCGGAACGGAGAGCGGCACATTAGGCTACTTTCCAGTCGACTGCACCGCTCCTGGTGCGATCAGTTCTGCTGAGGCCATTCTTGAAGGAGGCCATACTGCTGTTGTGAGAACAGTGCTCCCAGCATCAAATCCGCATCATCACGGAATCCTCTTGGACAAGAAAGGAATCCTTGGCTGGACCGGTGGTGAAGATGGCCGTCTTTGTTGTTGGTTATCGGATGAAAATGTAGCAGCTAATAAGTCATGGATATCGAGCACCTTGGTCGTGAAATCTGCCCGTAGTCGTGGCAAAAACCGGCATCAGCCATATTGAGGGAACAGCCTTATTACAGTTTTATGTCGAAGCTTATCAAGTAAGTATCTACCTATATTTATAATTGGGGCATTTATATACATCACACAATTCATATAATTGTACATTTCTCACACCTAAACTTTTATAATTATACACATAATACTCAAATCTTTAGTATCAACTCAATAATAGCAGTATTATCACTTTTTTTAAGTGAAATATACCTTTACATGCATAGTTCTATGTGTATAAATATAAATGTTTAGGTGTGTGATATGTAAATACATAAGAATTGTGCGCTAGGTATGTAAATTTTCATTCATAATTTAGTTTAAATCTGGCAACACTGGCTGCATGCTTTCCTCTCAAATTTACTTCTTGTGCAGATGATAATAAAGGAGGATTCATTAGGGAAAATTCCCCTACTTGCAAGGTTTGGATTTGTTATTTTAGGTTTAATTTAATGTAATATATGTATATTTTTCTAAATAGATGATTTGGTGTTAGGTTATTTTTTTGTTAAAAATGGTTTTTTTTTATTTGTATTAAATTAGATTTGACGAAACATACAGGTGTAAGCTTGCTTTGGTGGGCTTTTTGACTGTTTGATTTTTTTAATGTAATACTTATTAATGTAAATTACATTTTTTTTGGGCATTTACATACGTTCCGTTTAATACTTATTAATGTAAATTACATTTTTTTTGGGAATTTACATACGTTCCGGATTTCTATGTATTTACATATCCAACACCTAAACTTCAATTTTTATATATATGCCACTTTATCTATACATGCATAGAAAGTTGTAATTTACTTATTTTTAAGTTAAAATGATGGTTATAAATGTAAGAAAGCAAAGTCTAGGTGTTTGAAATGCAAATACGTAAGAATTTATTGGTATGTATGTAAATCTTTCTTTTTACATGTTATATGAATTGTTGAAGTACCTACAGACATTGTTTATTTCATTAGGAAACTGTAGGTTTGATGGTTTGGAAGTACATGTAATCATAGTATGTGTTTATGGCATAAATTATTATCTTAGCGTTATGATGTAATTAAAAATAAATAAAAATTTAAAGAGTTTGTGGATTAATTTGGCATTTCTATAAACTATGAGACTAAAAGGACCCAATGCATATAGGCTATCAATGGTTGTGTCTCAAACTTTGTTAAATCTATGTTTGAATTCTGTTTGAACCTCAATTGAATGGTGTATAAATCTTCTTGGAATTGTAATTGAACATTATTCAGTTCTTTCAATTCTTTCTTGTTTGAATCTTATTTTTTGTCATAATCGAATGTTATTTTTGCATTGTAGGAACATTATTTGAATATGTTTTTCAACTGTTTTCGTTCGTGTCTAAATCATATTTGAATATTATTTGATTAATATTCAAAAATAATTTGAGCAAGGTTTGAAATTTGGTTTTATTGGTTCAAACTTAAATTTGAAAAGGATTTGGAACATGATTCAAGATTCAAGTTGCCTTCTATGGACTCACAAACTCGAGTTTAATCCAAATTTGGCTCACAAATCTTAGACTAGTTTGAATGGCTTACAACCCAAAATTGCCTTGATATGCATATTCGAACAAGTCGCTCAAGTTGTGTTGGAGTTTGTTTGGTCGAAGGCGGGTCAAGTTCAAATTAAAGTTTTTGACTCGCTTAATAAATAGGTTGAGTATGGATCACACTTATCTAAGGGCAAATTCATTCTCGTCAAGTTGATCCGATTTAGCACCCGTAGTTTTATGTATGCATGAATGCTTTTCTTAAATGTTTGTGTTTAGTGTTGTCGTCCTTTATCAAGTTTGAATAAAACATTTTTTGATACACTTTGATTGTATTTTGCTAATTGTAGTAGCTGTAGCTCAGGTTCAATTTGTTAGCTATTATAATTTATGCTTAAAGGGCTGTACACATGAAATTTCATGAGCTATTTAAGCCAACACATATAAAAGATCTGGGGGAGATGCTGTGTAATGTAAGTGCAGTCGATGAGGAGTTGGCAGGGGTGTTATGGAGCCGAGTGGGCTCCAGTTTGGCTTGTTAATGAGCTCAAACTCTAGCTCGTTTATTAAACAGGCTCAAGCTTGTCCCAGCTCAGCTCTTTGGCTCGTGAACCAGCTCGATTTGCCAATTTCTAGTCAATTCAATAGATTGTCAGGGGAGCTGTGGGTGTATCCTCCTCTTCTAGCCATTAATACTAGATATAAAAGTATAGCTATACCCTTTAATCATTACTACATTGCTTGAATCTTGCCTTTGAATCAATCAGTTCATGTGATTTTTTCAAAGTTAAAAGAAGTAATTGTTAAATCCAGCCACCAATAGTTTAACTAACTGCATTTTACAATAATATTTTATAAGTTTAAAACATATATTAAATGGATTTCATAGCCATATGTTGATACCTTTATCATGATGACTTCTAAGCAAATAATACCTTCTTTTTCATCAAAATAAAAAAAAAAAATTGAAAATTTATATGATTTGAGAAGTTTCTACTTTGTATTGGAAATCCGATAGGATATTATATTGCTTAATATATTGCATTAGGTTAATGAGAATGATCAATTAAATGATTTCTAGTCTTGTATTCTATAAATAGCTTCATTTTGGTGCACATAAAAAATTGAATTGAAATTATAGTAAGTTTTTCTACCTTCTTATTTCATCTCTCCCTCTTTAATTTTTAGGGACCATGAATTGTTGTTTATCTTTAACAATAAAGTTTTTTTTTTTTTTTTCAATTCTTCTTTTGCTATTCCTCTTCCACCAATTTTTAAAATTATGGGCATTTTCGAATTGTCAATTATCAAGATCCAAGAAATGAGATTGTTTTTGTCACTTTTTCGCTTTTTATGTTTGAAGGAATCGTTAGCTTGTTTATCGTCGTATACTTATCTTTTCAGAGTAAACCTCTATTTCAAATCATATGGATGATCTGGAAAAGAGAGGAATAGGAAAAGATGAGAGATACGACAGTGAAAACAAATGAGAAACAACACGCGAAGAAAATTCGTGAAGAATACTTTATGTGATAGCCTAAGAGCATATATCTAAAATAAGATCAAATTGAAAATGCCTTAAAATCATATCCTCGAAGAAGACCTACTAAAACAACCCACAATTAGAAATTCAAGTGTGTGTTTGTTCTAGGTTAAGAGCAACTTGCAAAGGGATATATTCTTCTAATTAATTACATTACGGAGGTGTCCAAGAATATTCTAGATTAAATGAATCTTACTTACATTTGTATAACAACTAGTGAGAGGGTGTCACAAAGGATGATTATCTCACGGGAGCGTCTCAATGTCTTCAAAGCTCGCGTTGATCCGTACAGACAAGGAGTAAATCTCTCACTATCCCACATGGATAGCGATTTATCGGGGACCAAGTCCTATAAAATAACCAGATCGTCTCATAGAGTCCACACTATGCTTTCAAGGTCAGTCTGAACTATAAGGAGAGAGGCTTAATCAGATACATTAATCATTAAAAAAAAGAAATTAAAAAAAAGAATTAAAAGAAAAGAAAAAGGAAGAGTCAATATTTTAAGGATAGAAATTTAGGAGTTTTTGAGGAGAAGCTCGAGATTAAACTACTAATAAAAAATTGGCATCAATCATCTTTTTTTTAATTTAAAATGTCAAATGCTTCTTTAATTGAATTTTAAAATATTATATTAAAAAAGAGAATACTAAAAATTATTTAATTGATAAGTACAATTAAGTTATATATATTTGAGAATTAAATTATTTATTTAAGACATACATAAATGATTAAAAGATTATTTGTATAAATAATATTAGGATATTATTCATTAATAATAATTATATATTTGTACACTTTTGATTAATATGTTTAATATATTTTTAGAGAAAAGTGCAATCATAACATAATAATTACCCTGAATTTCCAAAGTTTACATTTAACTGTTGAATTACTCGAGGATAAGTAATATTTAATTATGATAAAATTTGATATGTAAAAGGTTATGTAGTATGCTAAGATGTTTCGTACATTCGAATATTAAACTTTAGGTATTCAACATGTAAATGCGTAAGAATCGTGGTAGGTGCGTCGGGCAGTAAATGAGCCCAGCTCAAGCGAGCTCGGGCTGGGCTCATGAATTGAGTGTTTGTGTTTAACTCGATTTAATTATTCTTGTACATGTTCGACTTTAAATTGACTCGTTAAAATTAATTGAAAAAAATAAATGTAGAGTCCTTAATTCAAGCGTGGACTAAATCTATGCAAAAAAAAAAAAAAAATGAATATAACCGCATTACCACACAGGCTAGTACGAAATAAACTTACATATAAATATATATAATAATTATTATTATAAAAATAATTACGCTTTTTTTTTATTTCGAGCTAAAATGAGTCAAATATGAGCAAATAAAGAGTCGATCTTGTTCGGCTCTTTTATAATTCAAGCTTAAAATAATTATTCGTGTTCGACTCGAGTTGAACTAGAACTGCTTAACGAATCGAACATGTAGGGCCGGAAGAAAAATAAGTTAATGAAGTCATAGTCAGCTTGGGATCAACGTGGAGTTCGCCGTTAGCTTCGCCTTTTTGTGTTCTCTGCTTCTAGTTTTCATAACCAGCCGTTATATTAATAAATCCCGCAGCCTTTTTTTGACTTTTTGATTATTCAATTAATGGAGTCAATATTAAATTAATGAATTAAATTAAAATATTGTAGTCAAATAATATCTAATTTTAAAGATATTTTTATTTTAAAAAAATATTGAATATTTGAGCCTAGAATAAACTTTTTTTTAAAAAGAAATTGATGAAATTAATTATATTTATTTAGTTTGTTTCATCAAGAAATTTTATGATCATGCACGAATTTCAATGCATTGAGATTTAAAAATATTCTAAATTCAAATTTAAGATCATACGAGCTCCGATTTCAACAGGTTCATGTCAATGTGACGAGCCTGATATCATCTAAATGATATCGGAAGTGATTTAATCGAACTCCAAATTAACCCACACCAAATATTTGAAGTGTAGTTAATGATTTAGGTACAACAATTAGAAGACTAAAATGACCTTCAATTTTGACTCAAAAACTTAAAATAAGATAATTAAGAAAATCAATGTAGATTGCCCAATAGAATGTTTTGAGAGTCTTTAAATTTAACAATATTTCTCTTTAAAAAAACTATAAGTAACCTAAAATCAACTAATATCTAATTTCAAGAATTTTTTTATTTACAAAAAATATCAAATAATTTGAACTAAAATAAAACATTTTTAAAAATATATTGATGAAATCGATTATATTTATCTATGATGTGTTATAAAAGAAAATTTATCATAAGACATGAATCTTCACGTATTTTGAGCTAGAAATATTTCAAATTCAAATTCAAAATCATACGGGGCCCCAATTTCAATAAATTTATAATTAAACCGAATATTTTGATACAACTAGCCTCATGGCGTCAAAAGTTACGTGATTCAACTCCAAATGATATTATCA